GGCTGTTTACTATTTACAGCATTTCTAACAGCAAAAGATAGGGAAACTATATACATGTCCACCAAAGTGGAACTAGTTAAATTTCTGTATATGCCCACAATGGAAGATGCAGCCATTAAAATGAATGAGGCGGATCTATGTAGGAGGAGATACAGAACAATCTCCGAAACACTCTACTGTAACTGGAAAGAAAGTAAAGTATAGAAGTGCTGTATGCTCTTTTGTTGAAATGTGTGTGTGTGTGTGTGTGTGTGTGTGTGTGTGTGTGTTTATGCAAAGAAACTGCGCAAAAAGCCATTGTTAATAGGTTGCTCTGGGGAGTGTGTCTGAGATGGAAGGGAAACTCACTTGCATTGTATACCCTTACTGGTTTTTGAAAATACATGAATGTGTTATTTTTCAATTAAAACATGAGTTACAGATAAATACTACTCTACTTTGACTCCCTGCAAAGCATAGTAATGGTAAGTAATAATTCACTGAAGATTTGAGAAGTTTTTAGCACATTAGTGTCATCCTTATAAGCACTGTTTCTCAGTGTTTCAGTGTAAATTGCCTTGTGTATGAGTCCATCTGCCCACTGGACTGAGAGCCCCTGAGGACAGAAGTTACTCCTGTCTCTGCACAGGGCCTGGAAAAAAGCAGGTTCTCAAAAAATGTCTGTTGAATGATGACTAAAATGTATATAGAGAGGGAAAGAAAATACTTTCATACTGTGTGTCTCCCCCAAGGCACACTTTTGGAACATTTTTGAACAACCAAATTCCTGATACGAATTTGTCTTTTTGGACTTGTGACTCAAAAAAAGGAGAGCACAGAAACACCTTAACACCTTTGAGTAAGGGCTACACCTAGTCAGGCTTTTGCATGAAAGAGACAATTCTTGCAAGTGTTCTCACCCCCATTTGTAAACCTTGGAACAAACAAGATGTATGTTAAAAATAATCGAGCTAAAGGCTCAGTTGAATACTAACTGCTCATTTGAAACCTCAAGTAGAAACACCACCACTTCAGTATTACTGGCATGAGGACAGCAGTACGCACGTGGTAAGGGTTGTCTGGATTGAAGGGGTCCGAGTCCTCCTGAGCACTGGGTCTGGTTTCATTATTCGGTCTCCCAGGGCCTGGGTTGTCCCGTGGCCCACTGTGTGGTCTTCTTGTAGTTGTGACAATTTTTCTAACCAATTCTCTTCTTTCTCTCTGGATTTCTGAGAGCAAAAAAAAAGTGCTGTAAGTTAATTCCCTTAATAATTAAGGGAGTTATGTGTTTATTAGGGTGAAAAATGAGAAGAGGCTATCAGAACACAAACATGATTAGAGACCATTTACATTTTTTTTATTTTTCTAGTAACAAAGCATGTTTCAGTTACACATACGGATGACCAGATTTGGTTTTATAGTCCTAATTGAGGTCATCATTGAAAGATAGCTGGCAAATCTCCATTCTCAATCCCCTTTATCTTTGCCTGCCTCTGCTGTAGGAGCTGAGACAGTAGGATACCACTCATTTCCTTAGCCTCCTCAGCAATTTAGGAGTGGTCAGATAGACGTTTCTGGCGAGGGAGACATAAGCACACACTCTAGTGCAGTTTTGGGGAAAGCTTTTACTTCCTTGATAAGGGAGGACAGATACTGTTCCCTCTGTCTTCCTTTCTTGAATGTAGATATGTCTGGGTTTTGAGAGCCAACTGACCAGAAGTGGCAGGCACAAGGATGACAAGCTTGTATGCTTTGGCAAGCAAAATGGAAAAGTGGAAAGAGACTTGTTGATACCACTGCATAGCTGATAATGCTAGAAACCTATCTCCAGACTTCTCACTATATAAAACATCAACCTGTACTTGTTGAAACAATTGCCGATTGAGTATCTGTTACTTGCAGTCCCATGCACTCTTAGTGGATTGACTATATATGTATGACGTTTTACAGTTTTCAGAGATTTATTATCTTTGATTCTTTAAAAAATCCTATGGGATAGACAAAGCAGACCCATCTATAGATGAGCGTATCAAGACTCAGAGACCAAGTGACTTGGTCAAGATCACTGACTGGTGGCAGAGGTGGGAGGTGAGCGTGAACTTCCGCCCTCTTCACCACGCTGCCACAAGGGTCCTGCAGCATGACCTATGCCTGCTGAGTGGCAGAAATGGAAAGCACCACACAGCATGGGCTTTGGTGTTTCCCTGAGTCTCAGTTTCCTCACCTGTAAAATGGGGATAATAGTATTTAATTCACACGGTAGTGATGGAGTTAATGAAAATTTGTGTCTAAGGGCTTTAGAATAATGTCTGGCATATAGTCATGTCAGGTGATGACTACATAGTGCTCTGTTATTTATGGGAACTTAGATGTGTTGCACAGCCATGGGCAGCTTCCACATAGCTTCTTGGTTTCTGAGTCATGGCTGGAGAGGCTTCAGGGAGACCTGGATTCAGATCTCAATACCACTTTTTTTAACTCACCGAATGACCTCAGGCAAGTTATATAATCTGTAAACCTTAGTTTCTTCATCTACAAAATGCAAATTTGAGTAGTTACATGGACAGTCGTTGGTGATAATTAAATAAGGACAACATGTGAAGCTCTAGCGCAGGGGCTGGCACACAGCCAGAGCTCAGCAGCCACCAGCTCTCTGCCTTCCCTCTGGCCTTGGAGGGCCACCATTCCATGCCTCTGATACTTCAGCCATGGGACCCGGATGACCTGCCAGCGCAAAGACCCAGCCGAGTGTTCTGGGCCCTGGGGCTGGGGGGTTTTATTAGGTGCAGGGAGTGACATCCTTAGAGGGGTTTTATCTTCTTGATTTTATTGTAAAATGTGAGTGCATTTATGACAGATTCGAAAAAATACTTCATTTTTAATGTGTATGATAATCCATTATAATGTGTATGTATAGATAAATGGCTATACAAACAGTTAATCAATCCTTTTCAAATCTGGGGCCACTTCTTTTGTGGTGTATGTAATAATCTGTAATTCTGGTACGGCTGCTGTGATGATTGGATACTTCCGAGGTGGTCATGCTGAGGGACCGAGCCACATCTTGGTTGTAGGGCACAACTTCTTTCCCTAGGGGTGGAAGGACTCATTCTTCAGCAGTTAGCCAAGCACTGTTAATAGCGCTGTCTTCACACTCCCACCACCATTCCCCGACTTCTCCGCCCCTCACTTCCCACCCTGCTCTGTTATTTTTCCATAGGCCTTGTATGGTACTGTACAATTATTTTAATTAGGTGTTAACTGTCTCCCCTTGCTACAATGTAAAACTCCTTGAGGGCATGGATTCTTGTCTATTCTGTTCACCAATGCCAAGTGCCTAGAACAAGTAAATCACACATAATAGAACAAGTGAAAGAATTCAATAAATGTTTGTTGAATGAATGTATGAGCTCTCTGGGTGAGAGGCTTGTCCTCAGAAAATGCTTAGGGAGAGCCCTATAGAGTAGCAGAGTCAAAGACTTCTGTCCTTGACTATTGGTGATGCAGTTCGTGGGTGGTGATGGAAGCAAGAAGGCCCATCCCATGTGGGGGCAGGTGAGGCATCAGCAGCAGGGCCATGAGTGGTGAGCACCCGCTGGGCTGGGGCAGGGGGTGCAGGGGCGGTGATCCACTTGGGGGTCCCTCTCCAGCCCCTTCAGTTATGACAGATACTGTCTGTGGGACTCTTTCTCGGTGAGCCTGCAGGCGGCCTTGGGATCTTTCTCCACCTGCTTTTCCAGGCAGCCACTACCTGTGGCTTATGAATTGAATCCTATTTGCTTTGCTGGGGCCAGAAAGTAGCCATCTTATCCAGGGTTTGGGACAGAATAAGATGTGTGAACTAGGAAAAAGTTAGCTATGCAGGATCAGAAGCTTGGACTTCCTGAGCCTGGCAAGGTTTTAAAAAAAATTATAAAATACACATAAAAGTTACCATTTTAACCCTTTCCAAGTGTACAGTTCAGGGGCAGAAGTCTGTTGACATTGCTGTGCAACCATCTGTCTCCAGAACTTTTTTCATCTTGCAAAATGGAAACTGTGTAGCCTTTAACAATAACTGCCTATTGTCCCCTCCTAAGCCTGGTGGTTTTGATGCCTATATTTTATTTCCATGCTGTTCTTTCTCAGCATTCAATAAAATCTTTCAGAAAACAGTCTATCTCACCTGTGCTAGGAAAAAGGCCCTTTTCCACAGCTGGGCCAGAGCTACAAAGTAGCTGGGAGGCCAGTGGGGGTAAGTGTAGGCAATCAAGAGTGAGGGTACCCCCGGGGATGGAAGAGCTCTGGAGAGAGCAAGCCTGGCCTGCAGGGCTTGCCTGCCCTTCACCATCCTTAAATATTTCAAAGCTGTGCTCCAGCCTAGCTCTGAACCCCAGGCGCCTTCACTTTTTCCCACTGTACTTGGAAGTTGATGCTCAGGCTTTGAACTTGAGGAATCTCAATTTAGGCCCACAGCAGCTTTTGGCTGTCCCATAATTCTGGGTTTGAGCATGATAAAGATTGGGCAGTATGACAGTTTCTTAGTCCCTTGATTCTCTCTGCCTTATGAATTTAAAAAAAAAAAGGTAAAATTGGAAAGTGCAAACAACTGAGCTTAAGGGGCAGAGTGGAAAGAAGTGGGAGAGTCATAAATAAAACCAGCCAGTAATGTGGTCTGCCGCTGCGCCCCTGGCCTGATGCTTCCTGTTAACCCTGCTGTGCAGTCCCTTCCCCACAACATTCAGTGCTGTCCTTTTCCTTCTCTTTGTCTCTCGCGCCACTTCCTGAGACACTGTGGCACTGCCCTGTGCATCCTGACTCATCTCCCCTGTTTACGCCCAGGCCCGTGGAGGGCCTCACAGGAAGCTCACATGCACACGGAGAACTCCAAGCAGCAAAGAGAACTTAAAATGTTACCTTTTGGATATGTTGGTTTAAGCCAGAATATCGGAAGGTCGCCACAGAGTTCTAAGACTTTAGCACTCAAGAAGCTGTTGTCCCTCACAGGCTGGCCTACAGCCACCCAGATGAGAGAACTTCCTTCATATTTAACTGGCATGATCTTGCCTTCCTGTGCATAAGGAAAAAAGAAATGCACTGAACAAAGAGGACAAAGTGCTAAGGTTCCCGTTTGCCTTATAAAAACTTAATGAGGGCACACACACACACACACACACACACACACACACACACACACACACAGACCTCAGGGTTCCCGTCTCTTTTTGTTTGTCACTGTCTTCACCCTATCCCACAGCCCCCGGGCTTCCTTGCCTCTGGATTACTGGAATATGTGAAAATGAATGTCCTGAGTGGAAGTGAAAATTACTTGATACCAGTTTTGAGATTTAGGTTAATCTGATGTTTTTGATCAAAGATGTTTTTGAAGAAAAGCAATTGAACGGACTCTGGCATCCTATAAAGGATAGAGGAACCCTTCATTTGAAGTGAAAATCCTTTGGGGTTTTGTTCTGCAGCTTCTGAACAACAATGGAGAAAGCAAGTGATTGGTTCTTTAATGTCTTAGTTCAAAGTATTATTTAACATAAACCACTTCTACATTTCCCAGCTATAACAAAACACATTTCAGATGTTCCTCACATCAAGCACACCACTGAGATTTCAAAGCTAAACCCTGGATTTTCTTCTACTGCGAGATGCTGAGAATGGTTTGATAACCCAGGAGACACATTTATTTTGCCAGGTTGTTCCTTTCATGTATTTATTAGTTTGCTATAGGTTGGAGAAATTAAAATGTTTTCTTCTTATTTTTAGCTAAAAGCAGCACTTCATTTCTGCTTTTTCCCTCAGGCTTATGGCTGCATTAAAACAACTTAGAGTTATTGGAAGAAGCTAACACTCAGGTAATCCAGTTATTTACTTTAAATTAAATGGCTCCATCCAGGAAATGAATGCTCTTTGGCTAGAGTAGCTTTTTTTTAGAATTACACAAAACTGATGAAAAATTTATAAGAGCAAGTGGTGTGTAAGTCTACCCCATTACAATCTTAAGAGTGTGGGGTAAGAGTGGGATGGTAGGAAGGATGCACATATATGCATCCTACAAGCTAGGAATGTTCAGTAAATGTGCGGCACATACTTGCAGCTGCCTGTCCAATCTCCTTCCCCCTGCTCTCTTCATGTAACACAGTCCTGCTCCTGTGTGAGGCAGCAATATGTGGGGCCCCCAGAGAGACCCTTGCTTTCTCAAACTCTCCAGCAGCAAGGGGTACCCTGTGATCAGTTCTAGACAACGAGGTCCATGCTAACGTATGTTGGGGGACTGAGCAGCCTTCTGCTTTTCCTGATTAAAGGGAAGTCACGGCGCTGCTAAGCCTCTTCCTGACTTCCTTCCTTGAATGCATGGTTGAGGTTTGGAATTGGAAGGAGAGGCCAAAACATCGGGGATGGCTGAGCCAGTGCCTGCAGCTGCCCACCTCCACATCACTTACTATGGAGGAAAACAAATCCTTAGTGGATTAAGTCATTCTGAGTGTAGTTTTCTGCTACTGGCAGCCAAACACATTCCTAATTCACACAAATATATTGTCTGAATTTGGTTTTGTCCACTAGAGGATCCACTGTGCACAATATGAAGAACTAAAACAAGAAAAATAATTCACTTCTATGGCCTAAAAAAAGAATCAGATGCAGACAAAGATTTAAATACAAAGCTTCTCACCACAGTGAATTACATCTGTATTAAAAATTATTTTCAATTATTATTTGAAATAGTGAAAAATTGAAGATACATGAAGTATTCAAGAACAAGACTTTTAACATTATACACATGATGACATGTCATATGTCCATTATAACCTACATTTTAGGAGAACTACAGTGAAAATAGTAAGAGTGGACAATAGTGTAACCTCAGTCATGCGCATCGCATAAACCACACGAAGAGAATTCACCAAAACATTCACATCAGCTATCTGTGGACTATGGAATCATGGGTGGTTTTCTTCTCTATTCTGAAACGTATTTCCCAAATTTGCTACAATGACAAAGTATTGTTTTTAAAAATCCGGGGGAAAAAACTTGCTTTTAAGAAACCCAGAAAATGTACTGCAAATGATTAGATCTTGGTCAGCTATGTGGAGGAGCTGGTTCTTGCAGCAGATGGGAGAGGAGAGTTAGTTCCCGGCCCCCCTCGGAGACTTTCAGAAATGATAGTTCCCTGAAAGCATCATGACAGAAACTGAGCCGTGTGACTATAAAAAAAAATGGTAGCACAACAAGAGAAGTTCGAGGGTCAGGACAAAGGAGATCTGGTCTCATTTTTATACTCTACTGGTAGGTTCACACTGGAAGAATGGCTTTCCTTTCTGAATGGCAAGGCTCAGGAGTTAAAAACTGAAACATGATCAGAGAATGTTCATGGACTGGAATCTGGAGTGACCACGGCCTGGAAACCATCTCCCAAGAGGGGAGGCCAGGAAAACCAGGAGCTGAAAAGAAAACTGAGGACATGATAGTCAGCTTCAGAAATTCCCAGGTTTGTCCTTAGCTTTTGTTGCTTTTGTTTTGTTTTGTTGTGAGACACCTGCTGTTGCCCCTGTGCGGGCAAACAGTCCGACAGTTTCCAGGCATCTGTGCTTACCCTGATTCTCCTCTTCTGCCTGAGGGAGTTGGTGTTTGCTTCACCTCCCTCTTAGGGATACTAGAAGGACCAGGGGTGATCATAATAGAATCAACAGCGATAGCAGAGCCATCCAGTCACTGTCTAGCAGTGTCTAGGGCTGTGGAGAAGGTGTGCGCACCCCTAGTTTGTAGTTAACAAAACTGAGGCCTGAAGAGGTGAGGCCACATCCTCAGCGACTGTCAGAGCCAGTGTTTGAGCCCAGGTGTTTCTGACTCCAAAGTCCATTTCCTTTCCACCATCCCCTGCCACAGCTCAACGGAAGAGGATCGTGAACGTGACCACTTCACAGGCCCCAGAGTGTTAAGTAAATGAAAGGTACTGCTGTCAAATGTGTCTTTACAGTGTGTGCAATTCTTAAAGCAAATCTTTTAAAATCAAGCTCATAGGCAAGATATTAATAATAAATTGAAGAATTATGTTCAAAACCTCACAAATTTGACACAGAAAAGGAATTCAATATGTGTTGAGAAGTTTCGTTGGCTGAACTTGAACCAACAGGAAGAAATTGTAGAGGGGGCCATTTCAGCTCAGTGTAGTGCTGCTTCTCTTCCAGTTGCCTGATGCACAGGGCAGGGAACACCCTGTTCCTTTCCAGCAGGGACTGGGGGTCAGCTGTGGGGGAATTTCAGAAGGAATTCCCACAATGAGTGGAACTGAGGCTAGAAAGCTCCTGAGGCCCCTTTAATGAAGATTGCATCGTGTAAAGTCCCCGATACTGCGTTACTCACTGATCAGACAGTTCCCTAACATCAGGCAAATGCATGCCATACCCACCAGGTCAGAGGAGATGCTCTGTGCGGCCACAGTGCCCCCGTCAGGAATGCCAGGAATGCGAGCCTTCACCTGTGGTTTGATGTAGCACCTCTCTCCTCCAGCAAAACGGATTCCTGTGATGCCCTAGGAGATAAACATGTATTCATCCATCTATACAGCCGTTCCCTTATTCGGTTATTTTCTACCATGAGCCAGGCGCTATTCCAGGTACTGGGTATCAGAATGAATAGAACGGTTTGAATCTCTGTCCTCATGGAGCTTACCTTTTAGTTTTATTTATCAAAAATGGAAAAGAGAAAGTCAGGTGGTGTAAGTGCTATAGATAAAAAAATGAAGTGAAGCGTGAGATAGGAAGGACGGGATGGTACTTCAGACCATGGGCTCAGGGGAAGCGTTTAGCAGAGGTGGATTTGAGTTGAGACAGAGTATGAATTGTTCCACCTATCCCGCTGGCTCAGATGAAACGCCATCTTTTCCACGCAGCTGCCTGGGACCATCCCAGGCCAGGCAGGCTCCTCGTCCTCGACTTCCTGTGAGACCCCCTGGTCTCATCCCGCGTTTGGCACTCGGTTCTCAGTACCCGCGTGGTACCTTCCTGTGACTGTCATCTCCCTGCTCAACGACAAGCTGCCTGGGATTGGTGTCTGCATTTTTTAAATTTTTGGTGATCCCCAAAGGTTCTTAAGAGATGCTGGCCCAATTAATTAATTCCTTGAATTCAGATTTTTTCCTAAATTGCTGAGCCCAGAGTAAATAGCAAAGCTTTCTACAACACCAGGAGCTGAACTTTTCTCCTAGGTCTTAACAAGGACTTGAGGGTTTTGTTTTTGTCCCCTGTGAGATACAAACATTGTCTCCTCATATGCCCAGGGACTGGCCTCCAGGGAACCCTCAGCCACAGACTCCAGCCCCGGCTGACAGCTTGGCACTGATTTTCCGCCGGGAGCACACCAGGCACACAGCCCGCTCTGTCCCAAGAGTGTTCACTTTCACCCTGCGGGTTCATTTCATGGTGAGTGAGTGGCCAAAACTAGTGTTAAGATCTACCAATTTTATACCATAATAATGTGACACAAACACGAATCTGAACATCTCAGTTTGGCAAACTTCTGTTGAGACAAATGTCAGGAAAATACAGAATTCGTTCCCGGGTCAATGCTGAGGCCAGGGGAAGAAAAGCACGAGAGACCTGGGGGTCCTGGCCCAGTGTCCAGAGCTCCTGGGGGAAGAGTGAGGTCGGTCCCCGGTCACGCCCGAAGGTATCTCGGGAAATACTGCCCTGGGCAGCCTCCGAGCAGGGAGCCCCCCAGAGGCTGTGGGGTGACAGCGGAGAGCAGATAAGGGAAAGCGCCCCGCTTTCTGCCCTGCAGCCTGGTTGCCCACGTCGCACTCGTAGGTGACGCATTTCACTGGTTCTCCCAGCAGCAGCTCTCGCCCTGGGGGAGGGAGAGGCACGAGCCCCACTTCCCAAGGAGGGGCTCCAGGCGCACTGCACAGGTTCTCCACCCACTGCACCAAAGTCACCTGGAGAGACTAAACATACGGCGGCCTGGGCCATGCCCCCAGGACTCCCCGAGAACTGGCCTGGGCGGTGTCTAGGCATCTGCTGGAAAGTTCCCCGTGTGCTTATGACGTACAGCCAGGGTTGAGGACCACCGGTTAAGGGAGAAAGGAACCTGTTCAGGGTAACAAAGTTTTTAAATGACTGAAACAGCCTGCTCCCAGCTGAATGTTTTTGTCTTCCACAAATTCGTATGTTGAAACCTAAGCACCAAGATGATGACAGTATTTGTTCGTGGGGCCTTTGAGAAGTGATGAGACCATGAGGATAGAGCCCTCCTGAATAGGGTTACTGCCCTTAGAGAAGGGACCGCAGAACACTCCCCCACCCCTTCTGTCACGTGAGGACACAGCGAGAAGACGGTCAGCTGTGAATCACAAGGTGCCGGTGCCTTAATCTTGGGCTTTCCAGCCTCCATAAGTGTGAGAAATAAATTTGTTGTTTATAAGTCACCCAGTCTATGGTAATTTATAACAGCAGCTTGAATGGGCTAAGACACATTCTTGGACACAAGTTTCTTCTGTACCAGTGGCTCACAAAATTTCCCTTGCATCAAAATCACCTGAAGGATTTGAAGAGGGCTGGACCCTGTCCCCAGAGTTTCTGAGTTAATTGCTGTGGAGTTGGGGCTAAACGTTTCTAACAAGATCTTAGGTGCTGACGGTGGTGGCCCCCAGAACACACTTTGAGAATCACTCTCTCTACTATGCTGTCTCCTGAAGGTCTGTTGCTTTTACTCTGCATATAAATTTAGGGAAGATGGTTTGAAGAACAGAAGGCAGGGGAGGGAGATTACTGTCACCCTATGTGATATTCTCCTAACTTCAAGCGCTCATGTCCTCTGAATGTGAGATGTAAGAAAGGAAGCCATGACCAGATCCCCAAAGGAGAGAGTGATTCTATTGAAAGATTCACAGCCCCGAATGTGAATCTAGTATTGAATTAGTTCTGCAGTCTACACGCTGCAGAGAACTGAAACCCCACAGGGAATGAGTCCTGTGGGGAGGAGTTTACACATATTAACCGCCATTACTAGCTGCAAATCCATATCAAGCAGCTTGAGAGATTAAGAGATTAAACAGAGGGGATGAAAAAACCTAAGAAAGCCAAGCAAACCTCCTGTTTCACAAACAAACAAGGCCTCAGAAGGTGGTGATTATGAGGAAATATGCTAACAAAGGTAATGAGTGAAGGGTCCAGTGATCTAACATTCTTTTGTCAAGACTTAGGTAATTTCGTTTTAGCTGCACATTTTTTCTTTCTAGGGGATCACATCGATTTCTGTGGCTTAAACCAGAAGGAGGGCAAAGGGTCTTTCTCCTAAGGGGACACTTCAGAAATCTTTGGGGGAGTTTCTCGTTGTCACAAAGGTGGGGGCTCTCCTGGCTTTACTGGGCAGGGCTCAGGGATGTCAGGTCCTGACGAGCCTGGGAAGCCCCCGAGGACCAGCTGTCCCGGGTCCTGGGTGAGAAGCCTGATGGTGACTATCGGTGCCTAGAACCCAACACCATTTTACATCCCCGAACACAGTGATTTTGGCATAGTTCTAATGTACAACACATTCCAGGAAAACAATTACTGTGCAAATGGAGAGAAAATGGTACTTCTGTTCACTGAGAAAATTACCTGGTATTTAATTTGCCAACACGCACTTAGCTCGGTGCATTTTAGACTGGAGCACTGACAGTGGTTCAACTATCAGAGCACATGTATGACTTTATGATGCCTTTGAGTATGATGCTGAGCATTTGCATATTGAGGTGCAAATTGTATTATGGAGTACTTTCATTGTAGTTTTGCTTTATGTTATAGTTGGGGGCCATATTGATTTTTGCAATCAATAATTAACCCACCTATGAGGTAGGTGCTATCCTTTTTTTTTTTTTAATCTCCAGCTTTTTAAATTAGAATTTTCAAATATACACAAAGTTAAAAGAATTACATAGTGAACACCCATGGACGCCCACCAGTTTACTGTCTTCATTTCTAACCAGAATTTTTGTTATGTAAGGCAGTCATTAGCCTGAGAGCACTGGCTTAAACCTACAGCACTGATGCTTTGGAGGGGATAACTTTCTAGCATGTAACTCATACACCGTGAACAAACCTAGTTTTTGTATTCCCTGGGGTATTGACAAAGAGTCTAATCTATTGACCTAACTCTGGTCAGCTCCTCTGGGATCTCTTTTTAACTAGGCCCTAAGCTTGGCCTCTGTCTTGGCCAGGTTATTCCAGGTTTAGCAAGAATCCTGCTGAGTCAGCCTTGGTCTGATGTCACTATCTGACCACCCTCACCTGCCATCGGCAAACATCCTGTGAGGTTGGGTTAGTAGAAAACTACTCTGCCTGTTAGTAATTTTCCATCCACCAGCACCCCACCCACTCCTTGGCTATAAATACCCACTTTTCCTTACTGTATTCATAGTTGAACGCAATCTCTCTCCCCTACTATGAAACCCCACTGTAGTAGTCCCTCCTGAATAAAGTCTACCTTACCTTCTGTGTCCTGAATGAACAGTTTTTTCTTTACAGTCTAGAGCCTGGAGCTCTTTGTTCAGTGCTGTTCTCTCTCAGGAGATTCTTTTTTCCATTGGCTCTGCTGACATCTTGGAGGGCTCCTAGGCTGGCCGGGAGACTGCTCACTTACAATTCAGAACCTTCCAAATCTGGCCCCACCTGCATCCCCATCTCCTCCCTTCCCTGCCTTTAGTCACATTGGGCTCCTGAGAACTCTTGGGCAGGCCTGTGCATTCACACTCTGTATTCTTGTCTGGGCCTGGGAAGCCCTGCTCCTATTTCTCTGCCAGTTGAAAATCTATAATCACTACAGATTTAATAGGAGAACTCAAATAGTGGTGACTCTTCTTCATCTTAGAACATGAAAGAGCTAAGATTACTTATGTTGGCCAATAGGAAAGCAGGGCTGGAGCGACACATTGGTTTGCAGATGTACATTGAAACATTGATGCAAGCTTAATATCTCAAATTGCTTAGGCTGGAGCGACACATTGGTTTGCAGATGTACATTGAAACATTGATGCAAGCTTAATATCTCAAATTGCTTGTACATTGGATTTTGGAAAACAAAGACCTGCTCTGCACTTCTGCAAAACTCCTAACCAGCAGCGACTGCCTCCCCTCCATAGCACTCTGCTCAGACTCTGTTGCACCAGGTTCCCAGGCTGCCCCGCAGCCTCTTCTGTGTGGATGTCTGCACCCGGGACTGGACTGTAAGGTCCTTGGGGGAGGGAACAAAGCATTGGCCCCTTTACTTTCCCCATGCTTAGTACAGTCCCTTGCACACAGGAGGACTCAATAAATACTTCTTGAATTTGACCGGTGGTTTAAAATCCTGGAGAAAGTGATAGGGTAGGTACCATAGTGCCTGATTCATGTGTTTTCAAAAGTCCAGACTTGTTTAAACCCATAACAGGTTCTATCCATCAAAAAAATGTCCCACTCACCAGTTCTGACTTAGAGAAATGTGGAAGCTATCAGAGAGAATTGATCAGTTTATAAAATATTTGTGGCTCTGCTGGCTTATAAGAACAAAACACAATCAATACCATTATTAGAACCAGAGGATTATAAAACAGAAATATAGGCTGGGGATTAAAATATTTTAAAACATATTCATGACACATGCACATCTTGAGAAAGATGGATCTTTTCTTCTTCATTTGTGTAGCTATGTTTTGCATATTTGATACTGTGGCATATTATAGGTATTCAGTCTTGTTCTGGATTGAATGATGTGTGTGTGGGAATAATATTTTATAATTTTATATTGAGCAGCACAAATGAAAAATGCTTTTACCTTGTCCTGGGTCGTGCAGTAAAAGCCTTTAATAGGTCCAGAGAAATTATCTTTGTGCACTGACCAGAACCATTTGCAAAGTCACGACTAAATGAATTGCAGCTGGTCACATATGGGGCTGCCTAGCCTGTACTCTTGGGGCAGAGCCCACTTGGAATATAGCCACTCTGTTGTCATCAGCAAATAATGTCTGACATTACTGGGTCTCTAATGTTAGCCTGTGTCTGGTATTGAAAAGGACTAGTGAAGTGTGTTTTGGTATCAAGGGGAGTTCTTTCATTCAAGTGAGAAGCATCTCTAGTTTTTCTCATCAGAGCAAGACAGGTCGATAAGATGTTTGCAGACCAATAAACTATCAGAAGAGACATTATTTTTGAAAGACTTTTTGCATTATGAAGTCCCACCTACATTTATAGCAACTACAGATTTAACAGGAGAACTCAAAAAGTGATGACTCTTCTTCATCTTAGAACATGAGAGAGCTAAGATTATTTATGTTGGCCAATAGGAAAGCAGGGCTGGAGCGACACATTGGTTTGCAGATGTACATTGAAACATTGATGCAAGCTTAATATCTCAAATTGCTTAGGCTGGAGCGACACATTGGTTTGCAGATGTACATTGAAACATTGAT